GGGGGGCACATTGACAACCTCTTTTTCTCTCACTACAGGCTTCCTAATAACCAAATTTGATACTTTTATACTTCCTGCTGTAAAGTTCCATTTTTGAATTATCACCGTCCCAAAGGTAGACTCAATGCCTACATACAGAGGTAGGTGGAAGTGTAACGGATATGAAGGGCACACTGATGGCGCTTATATTGGCTTTACAAACAACATGCACTGTTTTACACTTTTCAGTGGCATGTTAAGGCAAAAAAAAGTTACTCACATTTCTTCTACATCTACAACTGTTCTTCCGACAGGAATCACATTTGGATAAGCCTTCATTGGCTGAATATAATGGAGAAAATCTTGAATCTACATAAATAAAATAAAAATTGAATTAAGTTTATAAAAAAAAAAAAAGGAATCCATTTTAGAAGGAGAGGCAGACAAACAGTGACTCTTGTTATTCATCAATAATAGCCAGTGGGAGAATGTAGAGCATTGGCTGGACAGTGGTAGAACATACCTCACTGTATGAAGAGTGAAAAGAAAAGCACGCCCGATATGAGCTGTCATGGATTCTAAAGGAGAAGAGAAATACAAAATTGGGAAATGCCCGACCTGCAGATGATTGGGTGTTAGTGCCCAGGGCACTTCCTTGTTGGGAGAAGGTGAGGTTCGGACTGAGTTCAGTCCAAACCTGAGCTTATCCCTAACTAGGAAGGACACCCACAGAATAACACAGCACACATAAATATAACTCAACCTTAACATGTCTGACACATTTGCTATTGAATGTTGGGCACTGCAAATAAATGCCATTTATTATACAGTATATCCTTATTTATTGTATATGCGGTTTTCAGCATTCTATGTTCCCCTATGTCAGTATAGGCTTATAAAACATTCCTTTCAACAAATGGAATACAGTCAAGTATTGGTCAGTGAGCACGTTGTGCATCCATAGTGAGGTACAGCTAAAGATAAAATGTTTCTACAGACACATACAGTACATTAGGATATGATGACACACACCTTGCTACCACATTGGTTTTCCTCGTCCTCTCACCAAACCACATAGTTGATGGTTTAATGGTAATAACACGTAAAGGGACTCCATCGTCTGAAAACATTCCACATGGCAATCTGTTGCCTCGCAGGAAGTCTTCATTCTTATTCAAACGGGAAGAAAAAAAAGAAACAAATTGAAGCCCTTTTTTTTTTTTAAAGGACATATTAGAAAAAAATTATTTGTGCTTTTTAAAATGACTCTGTACTGCTCACACAGTCAGCAGGGGCTTAATTGTACCTTGCCAGTTTAATGTGTACAAAGTTACTATAAACAGTTTGTTATGTATTCCCATTCACACAGCGTACCTAAAATCATTTTTAAAACAATATTTGTTACCTTTTAACCTTCCTGGCGGTATTCCCGAGTGTGGCTCGGTGTTAATTTTCAGTACCAAAAGTGGTAACCCCGAGCCACACTCGGGATTACACTGCGCGTCACTTACCTTGTCCCTACGAGCCCCGCTGTGTCCTCAGGCTGATGCCGGCATCCATCTTCCAGGTTCCGTCCCTTGCGAGCGCCAGCATCGCAGGGGGGTGTAACCGGCGGTAAATTCAAAAGTAAAAAAAATACTGAGATAATCAGACCGCCAGGGAGGTTAAATGTGTCTGTGTATTTAGCCTTTGGAGTCATGATTTCAAAGTGACAGAAAACACTTGCTGTCCCCGTAGAAAGACTAGGGACAGATTGATCTTCCCCTTATTAATATGCAATGCTTCTAGATCATTAACCCTTTGTTAGGACAGACCGTGTTCAAATCTAGTTTACAACGGATAATGAAATCTGCTAGCACAGTACAGACAGGGCTAACCATGTAAACATTAACCTGTGCAGCCTCACCTTGCATTCCAGAGGAAAATTTAGTTAGTACAGAGAAGTAAGCAGCATTTTTGCTATGTGAATGAGAACATGTAACAAATATAAAAGTAGGTGTTACCCCAATTCGGCTGCAAAAGTCGAAATAAACTTTAAAAGATGATGCACAAAGCACCAGTGTTTATCTCTATAATTTGTACTTTTAGTTTAATATAAACAACATGGGATCTGCTAGACCAGAGAGATAGCCAGTAGTTATAGTGAACCTCTGGCGTCACTACCCTGGAACAAGTACTCAGATCAGGAAAGTTGGAGGATTGTCAAAAGTCTTATCTGCATACATGGGGTGCAAAGCACTGAAGCCAAGTTGCCAGGCAATGAACATTTTCAGAAAGCAATGGCAGCCTCTATGCTCTCTTGTGATAGGTTTACTTTAAGGCTTAGCTTCTGATTGTGGAAGTAATAGTGGTATTCTACATGGGGATTTATTGGAATGTCTTTTTTTATTGTTACTAATATACAGTCTAATCAGAAAAAAAGATGTATTAATATTCTAGAACTCTGATTTAGCTCAAACATGTATATTCCAAAGGCTAAAATATTTTAGAAGGATAAATATTCATTTAGCTGATGGCATTATAGAAGACTTATTGCCTGCAGGAAAAGGAAACATTTAACCCCTTCATGACTGAGCTTGTTTTTACTTTCTGTTCGTTGATGACTGACACACTTTTGACATTTTGCTGTGTGATTCTTCCATGTCAGTAATATACTTTCTTACAAAAGAGCACCCCCACATGTTGTTTTTTAGAGAGGACAGATAGAGCTACATATTTATATCACATATGTGTACCTAACGCCTCACTTTCGACAAATAAAATATTAAAATTGAGGGGAAAAAAAACGTAAATAAAACACTTTTCCGCAGTTTTGATTTGTAGTATTTTTTTGAAAAATAGCACAGCTAAAAAAAAAAAAAAAATGCATTAAATACATTCATTTATTTGTCCTTTATTTGGAAAAACCTCACATTTCTTAGATTTTAGAAATGTTTCTGTACTTCTCAGCCTAAAACTAAAAGCTAACATTTTAATCTTTTTTCTCTAAAAGCTAAAAATGGTCATTTGGCATACAATGTCACTAAGTATCACACTTAAGGTGCCCATACACTGCTCGATTCTCGTACGAGAATCGTGGGAAATCCCGCGATCGTACGAGAATCGTTCAGCATTGCGGTCATCGGAAGCCCGCCCCCTGCGATGATCGAGAGTACGATCTGCCTGTCCAAGATGGGCAGATCGTACGTTTTTTTTAATCACTTTACAACCATCGCAAGACTAACGTCTTGTGATGGTTGTACAGTGTATGGGCACCTTTAGTGACAGCGACATACTTTTAACATCACTGTCATGAGGGGGTTAAATTAAAAAAATTAACCCATTAGGGTGAAAAACAAATCTGCAGCTCAGCTGCAGATTTGTTTGTAATGTGTTCATTATTATATTAAATGATAGTATAAAAAAATATATTATTTTTATTTGTTACATTTATTTTCTTTTACACTTTTCACTATTTTTAAAAAAGTTTTTACATTTTTATTTTATTTAATTATATCAAGCAGTCATTGTGAATGAATCTATTAGTGTTTGATAATTTAATTAATTCATTTTTGGTTATTATTAGGCTGCTTCAAATAACCTTAGTGACACTGATCCTGCAGCATTTCAGGATCAGATGTCACTAACGGTTTTCTGATCGTTCCCACAAGGATCAGAAACCTGCAACATTGTTTCAGCAATAGAAACCTGTAGCTAAATGTTTCTGTTGCTGAAAGTTTAGAAGAAAAAAAAGTGGTTATACATAGGGATTTCCTAATCTATACCAGCTGTCAATAACGGCAAGAGCAGTAAATACCGCTCTGCTCTCACTGTCAGACACCTGATTCCTGAAAGGGATCAGGCGTCTGAAAAAGCTTAACTCTTTCATCATTGGATGCCTCAATACTGAGGCATCCATTAATGAACGGTAACCGCTGATTCTCAGCATTACCAGCATTACAAAGCCCCAGATAGCTGATTACGTACAGTGTACGTCTCCCGTCATAAAGGGGTTAATAGTCTTCTTTTGAGGGAGGCAAGTTTTAGAAAAATATTTTTAAAGGCAAAAGGAGTTGCTTTAAAGCAAATACATATGATCTGAAACACAATTACCACTGCATGGCGGCATGCATGAATCTGCGTCCTGCAATCTGTTGTCACATGGCAAAGAATATCAGGCATGTTCTTAAACATGTCCAGCTTGTTCACATGTACCTGGAAATTAAAAAAAAAATATATATATAGTAATTCTTAGACCCAAAGCTGCAAGACAAGCAGGTCATTAAACACTATGCATACCAATTTCTACACTGAGCAACGCTTCACCACCACATAGCTGACCTAATGACATGGTATCTGCGGCCACTAACTACCATTGCACCCACTCACCTGGTTACTGGCAACTCAGCAGCTGCACATTTGGCCCCTGACCAATAATGCAACAGTGCTCCTGGCCACTGTACCATTGCATCACGGACAAGTCATCAAATGCATGTTGGCTTCTCAGTGATGCAATGGTACAGTGGCCAGGAGCATACTCCGGGGATAAGCAAATATTGTCAAAATACAAGAGGCATGTGTATTCTTCCTTTACTCTTGGTGTGCTTCTTTTATTTCTTTCACATCTGTGCAATAGTCCAGCTAGTTTCGGCAGGAGCTACTTGCAATAAAGACCAGTCACTGCTGCTCTCTTTCCTTGTATCGAGTGACTGGTATCTGCCCCCCTCCTGTAGTTGCAGAGTCATTTGGTGCACACAGAGTGGATTTTTATCCTTTGTGGCTATTGAGGAGCATACAAGGTTTTTTTGTGGCCATAGTTCCGCTCTGTGGCAGAAAGCTCACACGTTGGCAAACAAAATACATAGAGGGGAATTTATTAACACTGGAGCAGACAGAATCTGGAACAGTTGCCCATGGCAACCAATCAGCTTCTAGCTTTCATTTTCAAAGCTTAACTGAACTGAAGAGAGAAGCTGATTGGTTACTATGTGCAACTGTTCCAGATTCTGCCTGCTCCAGTTTTGTTAAATTCCCCCTATAAACTTTGGAAGATATACCTATGCATAGAAGCTGCATACTTTCTTGACTGTCCAACAAAGAAAGTGTTTTATTGGTCTCTAGCTATGAGTAAGAACCCTTAGTGGTATGAAATGTGTGAGCAATGACCTTTGTGTATACATCCCATATTATTCGGTGTTTTCCAAAAATTGTTTACCTGGAGTCTCCAGGGAGTTCCTTCTTTACTACTCTGCAAGTATCCTTTAACTAAGAAGCTCAGACCAACAACAAAGTTGGCAAGTTAGTGGTTTGGAGTGGGATGTGCTAAATCGGCCTTTAGAGCAATATAAGCTCATGAATAAGGGAAAACAATAAGGACGCAGTAGGAGATGACTATATAAAAACAGAGCCAAGAAAGCCATCAGTCATGCCTATTTTTTCAGCACAAGTGATAGAATAGCTACCCTCTGATTAGTTACAGCCAGCTCCAGTGGTGTTTGCTGTATGCCATTTCCTGGATTCATTGATGAATGGCACTTAGCTCAGCACATACAACAAAACGCATCAGAAAATTGCCACAAACGAGACAGCTATATATTTGGGCAACATATCCAAGAGCTGTTTAGAAATCCAAATTCCAGATATTCCAGAAAAAGAATAACCATTGCAGCTATTTCATGAAATGTGTTTTTAAATGTCATTATTGTAAAGCTGGCCCTACGTGGTTAGAATGTCAATCCTTCACATAAGAAACGAGAAACATTTTCTATCCTTCTTCGACTTTTCTCGTCACTGTTGTGGAAACTAGGGATGCACCGATACCAGTTTTTTGGTATGGAGTACCAATATTTTTTTTCCGGTACTCACCACTATCAAATACCGATACCGGAAGTCCCAATAAGGAAGCCAGGTAGCGTGTAATGACTCGCAGCCCAGCTTCCCGATTAGCCGTCTCCATGCTCCCTTGTAATAATGACTCGTCGCCTGGCTTCAGGATTGGCCAACTTCCCGACCAATCAGGAAGCCAGGCAGCGTGTAATGACTCGACGTCTGTCTTCCTGATAGCGGAAGTTCCGGAATCGGGAACGTTTGGGCGAGTACCGATATTAGAAACCAATCATCGATTGTACCCCACTAATACAATTATAAATTCAAAAGCTGGGTATACATGGTTCGATTTTCCGTACGGACTTTCTTATCAAAAATCTCATCAGAACATTCGATGATGCCGTCAGAGGCTTGACAATTTTTAAGAAAATTTCATTTGGCTCTAACATCCGATTTCGAAATGAATAGAGCTTGAACGAAAACCACTTTTACGGTTAGAATATTGTTCGTTCGAGAAACATTTTCGTCACTGCAGTGAAAAATCGATTGTCAATTTGACCCGATCAACTATTAGGAAATGGAAGGGATGTTCCCAAAAACACGTTTTTTTAAACAAAATTCTAACCGTATGTACCCAGCTTACAGAAGAACTCCAAGAAATGTAAAAATGAACCCTTGCAGTGGGTCTACCTCTGCACTGCAAGGGTTAACTGCTTGTTTTAGTCTAGCGGCCAAAAACGAGCCATAAAGAACATATACTCAACAGAGCCTGGCTTCTAGACTCCGCCGGTCTAAGGACCCATGACGTCATCACGTCTAACACAGCTGCATTAGACATGAGAATGCCAAGGGACATTAAACCGCCAGAGCAGAGGGGAAAAGAGTGCCGACTGCTGCAGAACCGAGGATCTGGTAAGTATATTTTCTTTCATTTAGCCCTTGACCAAAACAAGCAGTTAACCCTTGCAGTGTGGGGGTAGTCCTGCTGTAAGGGGTAATTTTTTACATATCCTGAAGTTCTTCTTAAACTGTGTATGGCCAGCTTAACTCCATGAACTTTACTTGGTATCAGCCTATGGTAATGCCCTATACAGCAGCACTCAGTCTAGGAGAGGGAAGGGTATCACTAGGAGCCGGGTGTGCTACACTTTAAGCCGATCAGGTGCAGTCACTGTTGAAGTATTGTGACAGCCGTGGGGGCTGAATACAATAGCCGGCAGTGCAGATTTTTCCCATCCATCCACACTATTTAGTGTGGATGGAGGAATTTGATTCTTCTTCTTCAGCCCAAGAGATGAATGAGACAAATCTATGCATGTACAAATCTATGCTTCATTCATGCAAAATTGTGCTGCTGCTTTTACAGGGAACGTGCCCTACTCCACCAGGCTGTTACTAAGGTGCCCATCATATCACATCATGAAGACTAGATGAAATCAGTGACATCCAATAACACACAGCCTGGAAAATGTTTACCATGACATGTATATATTTCCCATTTCTCTTATTCTTTTTGAGGATGGAGCTTTTAAGCATTAGCAAGGCAATGCTAGTTTGCCAGGAGTGAAATATTAAAATCTGATGGCCATTTATGTGCGAGTGACTGAATAAGAGGAGACTCTTACCTTTGCTCCAAATTCCTCACTTAGGTTTGTGAATAAATACTCGTATCCATAAGCTGCTTTGCAGTTAAGCCAAACAACATGATGAGGACTCAGTGTTATCCAGCTGCGTACCAACTCCAAAATCCCAAATAAACATTCCTCCTACAGTAGGGAAAACCACGGATATGAAATATAACGCAACATTACAAACAAAGAAATCAGAGGATATTAAAACAGACTTACCCTGCTAGGAATCTGGAAAAATTTAGGATCACAGAACGTTGTGTCCAAATAAATGCTATCAATGTCTTTAACTCTAAAAAGAAATATTAGAACTATTCAGATGAATAACAGTATCATTATTATTACATAGTATTTATATAGCGCCAACAGTTTGCGCAGCGCTTTACAATATACGGAAGACATAACAGTTACAATACAATTCAAGACAAGATGGTAAGGAGGGCCCTGCCCCTGAGGGCTTACAATCTAAAAGAGGAGGGGGAAATGATACATGAGTAAGCTGTGGGAATGAATTATGTGAGAATGTGAAGGTTCAGTGGTTAGGTTGCGGTGGGATAGGCTTCCCTGAAGAGATGAGTCTTTAGGGAACGCCTAAAGGCAGTCAAGGTGGGAGATAGTTCATGTTGATATGCAGATGAATGACACTTTAACCCACAACTCCATGCTATACCCAACACTAAAATAGGTGCCTAATAGGACCATTCTAACAAGCAGCCAGCTCCTAGGTTCGGGTGAGTATAACTTTTTATTTTCGCACCTTGCTGAAAACGAGCACTTACAGTGCGGGGGATCATGATTTACTGGACCTTAGACCGCTACAGAGGAGGGGGACAGACATTCCAGGGACCAGTCTAAGAAGAAGCCGGCTCAGAGTTTTTAGTAAGCATATCGTTCTTTTCTTTTTAACCTAGACACAAACAAGCAGTTAACCCTTGCAGTGCGGGGGTAGCCCGCTCACTCTTCTCTCCTGCTATCAGCTTATTTCTTGTCAACACATTTGCATGCAGCACTCCTGATTGGTTCTAAGTCCCTCCCCCTCCTCTTCCAGGCTGAATGCTGCTGTACATGGGTTTGCAAAAGGCTGACACCAGGGCAAATTCAGGTACTGACACTAGTTGCATTTAAAAAATGAATTTACGGATTTATGAATATAGAGTTATATTCAATAGGGATGCACTGAAATTTCAGCTGCCGAAACATTTTGGCTAAAAATGGTACTTTGGGCAAAATGCCAAAAGTACCATAACGGCCTAAACTTCATCTGAAAATTCAGCGCATCCCTATCTTCTGTCCTCTACTAAACGCCAGTCTGTGTCCCCTCTGACGCTGCTGCTCTCCCCTGGTGTCGGCAGAGGCAGCAGGGATCTGAGAGGACACAGAGCGGTATCCAGCGCGGAGGAGAAAAACTGTCAAGAGGCCGAGCTGGGCGGTGACGTCAAGAAACTGTCAGGAGGCCATGCTCTCTTCTTGCACCGCCCCCGCTCGGTCTCCTGTGACATGCGAGTCAGGATTTCGGAGTGGTGCGGGGAGGAGAGAGCTGTCAGCTGTCACAGGAGACCGAGCTTTCCTCCTGCACTGCCCGGCTTGGCCTTTTGTGACAGGTGGAGGAGCCAAGATAGGGAGCGGGTTACAAATATATATACATATATACACACACATATACACATAACTGTTCTGTGGCTTAAAGGATTGCTTCCGTTTTTTCTTATAGAGAAGGAATGGTCTAATGGTTATCATACGTGTACCAAAACAATCCAAAACATGTTGACAGGAAAAGTAACAACAGGTTTGGGTACATTACAGTTGATTCGGCAAATAATGTTTTTTTTTCTTCAAACAGACGAAAGATCTGCTTGAGCGTCAACAGCTTTGGTCATGGTGACTGGTAAATGTTACAAAACAGCTTGCCCACACCATCATAATCTATTAGTTCATAACTGAAGCCTAGGCCTGAGATCATATACACTACATGTATGCATTCACCGGATTGTTAAACCGCAAGAGGCATGTATAGAAAAATAAATATGTTACATTTTATGCACCTGTTTCCTGAATGTAAAAGCTCCATACGTGCCACTTCTCCTTTTGCCAGTCTGAAATCTCCAGTATACAACACGGTGCCATTTTGTCCTTGGAACAAAAACCTTAAAGGAATTAAGATGCTTAGATTTCAAATAATGGAAATAAAGGAAACAATTGCTCACTATAACCAATTATGTTATAATAAGATATTTTAAAGTGTGACCTAGATCAAAACATTTCTATCAACAACTAACAATAGTACTGGAATGCAATTACCTATGTTAAAGTGTATTCCATGCCAAAACTTATTTTTTTCAACTTTGGATAGAGTAGGGAATGGTTAAAACCCATGCCTGTACCCCTGTCCAATAAATGTCTCAGGAGATGTAGATATATAGGTACCCTCAAACACATTTGATGGGCATGCCCAAAATATAAAAAAGATTTTGGATTAACGTTTACCAATTGATGTACACCAACCTGGGTAGGGGTATGCATAAAAGCCAATATGGTGCACTTCCTAATCTGAAACCTGCTAATTGCACTAAATATCAGATGAAATTACTTAACTTTATCCTTTACAGCAGCTAACTAGACTTTGGCTAGAACATGGTGGTCTACGACTGACGAAAAAAATTACATACTTAAGTGATTCTTATAAGAAAATTTCATAGAGTCTGAACACCAAGGATAACAATGGATTATTTTTAAAACTGTTTTGACTGCTCCCCTACTCACTTTCTAATTTTCCTCTGATGAGGAGATAAATATGGTAACCCAGGTGGCAATGTCGCCCCAAGGTCCTTACTCCCCACAACTTTCTCCTCCCCATTCTACCTTTCCTAACCACTCTCTTACCCGCTACTGATGGAAATATTCCTCCTTTTTTCTGATGGAAGTATTCCTCCTTTTGTCTAATACCCAGACATCACCACAGATTTACATATCACCTTAGGGTGTTTGGGACTACAGGGCGTTATAGGGTATTAGCAAAATTGTTATGTCTTGCGACCCAGGCAAGCTTTTACATCTATCGCTTTCTCAAAGAATACATCCCCACACAGCTACCTCCTCATGTATCACGTGCCCCTCCCTTTTAGATTGTAAGCCCTCACGGGCAGGGCCCTCCTTACCATCTTGTCTTGAATTGTGATTGTAATGTCTTCCTTATATTGTAAAGCGCTGAGCAAACTGTTGGCGCTATATAAATACTGTATAATAATAATAATAATAATAATAATCTATCGTCCAATCTTTTTTGTTATATGAACTCTTGCCTGGTACCGTAACTCTAGGTTGACTCATCCATTTTGATGCTACTGCTTGCCTCTTATTGCAGTTGAGTTTATTATACATTTTATATTTTGTAAAACAAATAAAACTGCCTTTTGTATCCTCTCCATCGTATCGGGGAGATGGAGATGATCCTGTCTGGTAGGCACAACAGAAAATGAGAAGAAAACCCTCAAAATGTGAGAAAAATCCCCAGACAACTGTCACTTGGCCTGGGATTACCCCTGACATTTACTGCCCATGACAATGGCCATCAAGACAAAAAGGAATTCTCTTCAGCGGGAACAAAGACAGCAATAAAAACCAAGACAGGCTTTCTAACTCTTCAACACTTTATCCAAAAAAAAAAAGTTTTGGTTTTAGATACACTTTTAATCTTCTTAAGTCATTCCCTGTGTGCCTCTGGAGCACTTTGGATCCTAGCCCCAGGCTGTACACAGGTTTGAGACTTCTGCAGAATTTTAGGTTAAGCCTCTTGTCGGTTATTCAACTGTCACATGCCAGAACAGTGAGCAGTAAAGGTTCTGGTATTTGAATGATGTGAATGAGGTCAAACCTCAGCTCAGCAGAAGAGCCTCTCTAACTAAATCCCAATATCTACAGAAGACACAAGACATACATGCTAACACTGGGGCAGACAAAATCCGGAGGGACAGTGCATGGTAACCAATCAGCTTCTAGCTTACCTTTTCAAAGTTTAACTGAACAACCTGAAGACTGAAGCTGATTGGTTGCCATGCGCAGCTGCTCCAGATTCTGTCTGCTCCAGTTTTAGTAAATTTCCCCGTAATCTGTAATACAGGTGCAGCTTGTTAATAACCGTCAAATGACCACAAATACGTTTTCAGGAGTAGCATTATAAACATCTGCACCAATTTCTGTCAAGTCCTTCTTACAAGTTATATGATTAGGTCGTTCAGAAAAAAAAGAGGTGTAAGGCAAAACCACCATCTGGGACTTCTTGTTACCACTAACCTCAAAATAAGCTGACAGACTGAAAAGATCTTGTGCTCATGCCGTGTGCTAGACTTGCATATTATCAGTAAATAATAATACAAACACAGTGGGAAATACGGTCACATTGAATAAAAATATATATATATAAAAAGTAGTCCAAATGTAAGGTTCAATTCTTAAATATGGGTGTAGTTTCTAAAAACCATAGTATAACAGAGGCCAACAAACTGCAGTACACCACAGCGCACATGGTGAGCAATGCGTTACAGTCTGATTTTTTTGTGCATTATTGTATAGCATGTGGGTGCTGTGGCAGCTGGCAGAGAAGCAGCCCTGGGTATCTCAGTAAACACATCAGCCCCAGTGCCTGAATTATATAGGTAGGGGCTGATTTATAAACTGTTAACACAACTTTTTGCAACGTTGTGTAGCCACTACAGCAGGAGTGCGCAATTCCAAACCTCCAGCTGTGCTTTACCTTCAAATCCCAACATGCCTCTAGGAGTCACACCTGTAACTGTCAGTCTTGCAATGCCTCATAGAACTTGTAGTTCCACAACAGAGCCAGAAATGCCCACCCTCCACTAGAGAGAGCCGAGAAGCATGGGAATTTCCTGTGCTCTAGTGGCCATATAGCACTGCAAATCTGTGCAAACTGTTTATAAATCAGCCTGGCAGTGTGGGGTTTTTTTTTTTGTTATCATTAGTGCTATCCTCAGCAAGAAAATGTCAACAGCGCATATCCATACTGCACGGTCTTGTGACGCAATTATTTAAAACTCAGACTAGGATTAGCAAAGAAGTAGTACATTATTAAATATGAGAAATAGCAAAACGTATTACTAAATAGGTTACATTACTGAGCCTGGACAGTGACCAGCTGGCAAAAGTGTGATCAGAACATCTTCTTTCTAGGAGAAAAGAAAAGTCATTACAAAACAAATACTTTTAGTTCTGTAGGTAAGGAAGCAAAAACACACACACCACATTCTGGTATAGGTTTAACTGTCTAAGTAGGGGCAGGAAGCAATTGGCCTATGTACGCCAGCGGTTATTCACTGCTGCACTACAGAACTAAAAGAAAAACTTGTAGTAACTACGGGGTCACATACACAGGCACCTGTTAGATCATTTTATCAAAGCATGGCAACATTTTTTAAATGCGTGACAGAGTAAAGTAAACAGCCATCAATATTGTGATACTCATTACTTCTTCGCCTTGTTTTTAATGTGACACTAAACTCAGTACTGTAGTCAAATCTGAAAAATACATTCAAGTACCTTAACTATTAACAAAACTGTAATGGATTTGTGTATCACTCAGCTGTAGGTCCTCAAATCATCTCTGAATTGGTGCTGACACTGTCCTTCCTACTGGAGGGTGGCTACATTTGTTCCCCATGGTCCCTCTGTGTGTTGTAAAGTAGCCACCACTGCAAGCTCACTCCTGCCACAGACTACAATGTCACGTTCAGTTTACTAATTTGTAATTGTAGTCCCCAAGCCCTAAAGAAAAGGGCCACTCAAAAGTGATAGCTGGAGACTGCTTGGCAGAGAAACCTGCTGGCTTTTCATATCTCTTCGGGTCTTCAGCTCCTGATCATATTCTGGCCTACTTGGAGTTTTGGACATTTCTGCCCATACTTGAGGTACTCCCCTTCCACCAACTTCACATATAAAATTAAAACTTTAACAAGAATGAAATCCCCTTATATTGAGCAGGCGTGTACAAAAATGCATATTGCTGTTGGAGTTCCTAAGGCATAACAAACTCTCGAACAATGACTATACTGACCCCTTAACAATCCCCATCCAAGTACTCACATCACCAGTACTCCCCATCCAGTACTCACATCACCAGTAGCTTCATCAACCAAAGAGATCTGAGTCGGAGTGTCCACTTCGATAGGTTTCTGTAAAAAAAAAAGTAACTTATTATCAGCAATACTAAACTAAACCAGCACAATAAAACACTTGCCTGCAACGGCCCTGTAGACCTTATACATTAAACACAAACAAACCACCTGCACAGCAGAATGATTGTTAAATACAAATTAGGACACCTCGATATGAGTTGTATTCTTAAAAGGCAAATTTATTTTAAAAAAATAACAAGAAGAGTTTTCATTTTTGCTGTGTATTCAATGTCCTGTGGTGTCTTATACTTCTTGGGGATTCCTAAGGAAAGAATCTGCCTCCACACTGTGAAGCCAAGCGAGGGGTCTCACTGATTCTGCTTAATAACTGCAATATAAATAAAATATATTAACAAGATTACCACCCCTACAGGTGAATGGAGCTGGGATGTCAGGTTCAGGCATCTTACCACTGGAGATATAAAAAGCTGGTGGGTTACTGAACTCTGACTAGCAAGGAAGTTTTACATACATCATAGTTGCACGTTCTGGAAGACCAATAAATTATGCAATACCCTGTGGCAATGACATGGGTTAAAACATGTTCACACCTAGGTGGGCTGTAGGTCCTACCCCTTGTGATTTCAGGCTCCCTGACAGCTTTTATGTTAAAGTCTATCTCCAGGAAGAAAAAACAATTAATCATCTTGCAATGGTACTACCCCCGCACTGCAAGGGTTAACCACTTGTTTATTTCTAGGGTACCTGTGTAAAGGACTTTTACTTATCTGATCCCTGCTCTCCTGGCAGATGGCACTCACCCCTCTGGTCTACGTTCCAGCTTGTGGACTGCCCCTTAGTATCCTCTTGTATAATGCCAGGATATGGTCTTGCATTGTGTGTGATTACATCAGCAGGCCCCTGACCATTGGAGTGCAGGGGGAGCAAAAGGCTGTGGGAGCTGGTCTCGGAGTGCTGGAGCGGGTATCAGGTAAGTAAAAATCCTTTACATATCCCTAGACAAAAAAACAGCATGTAACCCTTGCAGTGTGGGGGGTAGTCCCACTGCAAGGGGACTTTTTTCTTCTTTCCTGGAGATAGGCTTTAGGATAGCAAGTGGAGAGATTGTCACATGCAAGTCTCCTGTTCAGAGATGATCTTGTGACTGTGAATAAACCTGGAGTGCCCAGTCTGAGCACTTCTGTGTTCAATGTGAGTTCAGTACAGGATATATAAAAGATTGGGGACTTGTCCCCCAGTCTCCATCCGCAGCACGCAGGGTCATCACTTGTGTATAATGTCACATGGGAGTTTGTCTGCTCCTTTTTGAAAGGATAAATCAAGAAAAAAAAAATGTTTTTGGAAGCTCCTGGGCTTAGTGTAGTTCTAGCCGTCTTTGCAGTATTTCATATTTTCGATGAAAGCATGCAACTGCTGCTCTAACTCTAAGCATGCACACAAGACACAAACACAAAAAGAAAATATGATAGAAAAGTACTTACAATTCGATTTTCCCAGAATGCATACTTAGGACTTGTTAACAACAGCTCTTTGGTGACTGGGGAACAATAGAGGTAAACTTTGAGGCTATAAAGAAACAATCAGAAAGTCAAACATCAGTAGTAGTATAGTTACTTGCTTAACACAGGTGAGAAACAAGCTAGTGGGTGCTGTAGTGGACAAGCCTGATTTTGCTGTGGTGGCCAGTGGACAATTGCATCAGTATGGTGAAGAACTGAGGTGTTATTATTATTATTATTATTATTACATAGTATTTATATAGCGCCAACAGTTTGCGCAGCGCTTTACAGTGTTGCAGTGGCAGTCGGTGTGCAAGCATGGGGAGTGTGGTGCAGGTAAGCGTGTGGCATGTCATTGCAGTACTTGACAGTGGACAAGTGATTCAGTACAATGGAGATGTGCACTGTTGTAGTGGGGATTTGAGCCACTGCAGTGGAAAATGCGCATGGCAGTCAGTAAAGCAGTGCACAGGTGTGTGTCAGTCAGTAAAGACGTACATTGTATATATCCTGACATCAGAAGTGCATGTGTGCCATGGCAGAGTAAAGTAAAGTGCCGCAGCAGTCTCTGAACAATTACTTTGTTACAGTCAAGTACTGCATAACATTGCAATTCAGTATAATAATCACAATTGCAGGGGTGTGGCAGCTGGTAGACAAATATCCAGGTGCCATTGCAGTCCGTGGACAAAAGCATTATTGCATTAGATTTACACAGTTGAGTGCCATTCCAAAGACAAAATCACAGGTGCCTGGGCATTTGGTTGGCAAGTGCATGGTTACATTTGGGGGTTTGATAATAAGTTGCGATGATCTCCTGTCAACATAAAAAGTTTGCCACCATTTTTCTTTCTACACGGTCTTGGCTTTCAGACAATATATAATGTTTGGGGGTTTGAAGTAATTTTCAGGCTTAAAATGTGGTTTATAACACGGGAGCACAAAACGTCATTAAGGGGCTAAATACAAATGTACAAAAATTGGGGGGGGAAAAAGAGCAGCATGAAAACCAATCGAGTTTCATCTTTCAAGGTAAGTGGTGATTATGCATTTCCCTTTCAGTGGATATGATGCTACACACCTGCACTGCAGTTTTCGTTTCAGGGCCGGAGCACGAAGTCCTTTCATGTGATCTGTGTAAAGAAAAGAAGCGCCATGTTACTGTTTACTAGACTATGTATGAAAAAAAGAAAGAATAAGAATTAAGAGTTTCATAAACGGTGTCACTGAGCTGAAGAGTAGTGATGGGCTCGGGCGTGTTCGCAGCTCCACGTGCCGAGCCCGCCAGGAAGCTGACAGCGCCAATCACAGGTACTGAGACATTATCCCGGTCCGCAGCTGCAGAGATTGGGAAATTTCTCCGTGCCTGTGATTGGCGCTGCGGCGCTGTCAGCATCCTGTCGGGCTCGGCACTAGTGATGGGCTCGGGCGTGTTCGCAGCTCCAAGTGCCGAGCCCGCCAGGAAGCTTACAGCGCCAATCACAGGCACTGAGACATTTCCCGATCTCTGCAGCTGCGGACCGAGATAATGTCTCAGTACCTGTGATTGGCGCTGCAGTGCTGTCAGCTTCCTGGCGGGCTCGGCACGTGGAGAAGCTAACACGCCCGAGCCCATCACTACTCGGCACGTAGAGCTGCGAAAACGCCCGAGCCCAACAATACTGAAGAGTATAGGAAAGCCCGGATTTAAATGATGGTCAACTGATTGATCAAATATCGGGCAGACTGGACAATAACTATGTTTATGGACATAAAAACGTTTGGAGACACCACTGACCCTTCAGGACTTGTTCACACCATGTCCGTTAAGCTGCGCTTTTCTGCACATGTAAGGTGTAAACAGGACACACAAACAACAATTTTACCACAAGCCAAGCTTTTCCATAGAAGAAGCCATTGTTTACTATGGAAAGACAGGTCCATCGTCATCCTCACCTTGGCGTGGAATCAGGAAAAAAGGGATTTACATTTTAAAAAAGAAAATCCTATTACCGTGTTTCCCCGAAAGTAAGACCTACCCCGAAAATAAGACCTAGCACTATCTTCAGGGGTTTCTGTAATATAAGACCTACCCCGAAAATAAGACCTAGTTCGGTGGTAGATCTCATATTACAGAAATCCCTGAAGATAGTGCTAGCCGCAGCCCCCCCCCGCCAGGCACGCACGCCCCCACCCGCTCGCCCGCCCATCAAACCGTTACTGAGCCGAGCGGCTCTTCATCATCAATGCCTTCCGATCGGCTGAACGAGCACCCAGAGCGTCTCCCAGGACGGCATCAGAGCGGCATCAGAGCGCTAGCACTGGTTTGTGGCATGTTCGCAAGATAAAAGCCGACAGGGCCGGTATGCGCAAGCGAACACTGCCCGTTCGGCATTGTGGTCATCGGAAGCCCGCCCCTCAGCGGGGCAGGCTTGCGGTCATCGCAAGTACGATCTGCCTGTCCAAGATAGGCAGATTGTACGTTTTGTTAATTAGCTTACAACCATCGCAAGACTTTTGTCTTGCGATGGTTGTAAGGTAATTAAAAAAACGGTTGTAAGGTGTGTGCCCAGCATTAGATTTACCAAAACGATGTAATCTGAGGACCGAGCTAATCTATCCAATCAGGCAGGCCCTTGCATTACATAGTTCTCGCTAAATGCAATTGTACAATCAGATTGTAATGTGTGTGGTGAGCTTTCTGGAAGAAGGTACGATTAAAGACATAACAATATAATATTCATCATAATGATCAGCAAGATTAGTTCTTCATGGATACTTACCCTTGTGACAATGGGATAGAAAATAAGCCTTCGCTGAGAGGTTTTCCCTGTCGAACCTGTCTAAAGATATGGAGGGATACTCCTTCATACGGCCCTGGAAGGAGCTCATGTCAGCGACATCAGCAGGAGCACACAGTGACAACTTACAGCAATACCGGAAGAGGTACAGAGATAGAGAGCACCGAGTACATTCCTCATACTTCGCAATCTAACCAATCAGCGCGCTGCTATCTATGTTGCGCACTCCTCCCAGCGGCCAATAGGGTAACGAGAGGGATGCACACTACAAAGCGCTTCGGTACGCAGTAGCCCATAATAGCTGCGCTGTGTGTATAGCCAGCGCTTCAGAACACGTGGCCAGCCTTCAGTGTAGGGTGCAGTTTGGACGTGATATTACTAGTAACGAGCCTATTGGATGTCAGTGTTCGGTACTCTTTCTTTACCAATGGGAAATACCAGTCGTTTTACACATATTTAAATGGAACCGAAATAAAACTACTAATCAGAGCACACAAGCTTTATTGTATCATGGTATGATAAAACTACGTTGATACAGAGGGGGGGTGTACCAATGTCTCGGGACACAACAGGCCATGCCTTCGCTCTTTGATTGGCCGACAAAGGCTGTTGTTAATGCCTTCTCTCTTTGATTGGCCGGCAAAGGCTGTTGTTAATGCATTCTCTCCCTCATTGGTCGACAAAAGCTGTTGTCCTAGCCTTCTCACTGATTAGCTGATACTGGCTTTTGTCCATGCCTTCTCTCACTGATTGGCTGATACTGGCTGTTGCCCACGCCTACTCTCAGCCCCTAAAATGAGCAGCGCGTTATTTGTTGCTAGGATACCAGACTTGGCTCTAACAGTGACTGATCGGCTGTTTGTCGTTTTCAGGTGCAGGGAACTCAGGTAAGGGACGCTTGGTAGCAGCTGCATGAAGGGAGTGGATAGTCCTTTTAAGGATATATTTGTGCAGAAGATGTAAATGATGTCAGTGTGAGCTAAGTTTTTTTTTTAAATAAAAACTTGTTTCTTGCAGAGTTTGTAATTGTAAAAATATGTTAACCTTCCAATGCAATATCTGCTGTATTCTGCCCACCGAGTCAGCGATCAGGTTTCCATAGGAACGTGAGTGCTGATACGCCCTCTATAACTTAGTGCACGGCCCTGTAGACCGATAGGATGTAATTGATTCCCAACATCCTGCATAGCCTATAGGGCTTCAATGTGATTGTGCCACATTGAAGATTTGATCTCAATGCTCATGTTTCCACGGAAACCTGGTTGCTAAATTTCTAGTACAGAGAATTCTGCATCGAAATGTGGGAGGGAGCAGATGTATTTTTTTATATGAAATCGTGCACTTATCTGTTACCAGGGTCAGCATACATGTTACAATCAGCTTTAGGTCTCATTTACACTTGGCGATTTAAGATGAATCCAAAATGTCCCATTTAGATGCGTCCGCTGTCACCTGTCCAAGTTAATGACAGGGGGACAGCGGGCACATCTGTAAGCGGCAGTCTGCATGTAATTGTATGTGATAAGAATAGATCACTATCCCTGGATGCATCTATCCTGTGTCCAGTGACAGTCATCTATTCCAAACCACATGTGATCGTATCACATAAGATCACATGCGGACTTCCGCTTACCCAGCCATTAGCTTGAACGAGTACAGCAACCCCATCTAAATGGGACATCTGGCATTGCTGCCACAGGAACCCCAAATTGCCAAGTGTGAATGAGGCCTTAGATTTACCGAAATAATATGAGAACCTCCCTAAACTATCCAATCAATTTGTGTCCAACCAGGCCGGCCCTTGTACTCCATAGCTGTTGGTAGATCTCATGGAGATTGTACAATCAGATTGTAACATGCGTTGTGAGCTTTAAAGGTAAGTGAGTAAAGGTTGAAAGCTTTAAAGCATGTAGGCTGCAATTGCTGACCTCTCCTGATGAAAATACTAGCAGTCTCGCTGTCATGCACCTTTTATGTCATTACAAGTGTGCAGGAGCTCTGGCATCATTCTGATTTCCTGATCTGGCTTTACAGGTTGCAGTGATGTTTTCAGCTAAAGCTATGTACAGTACCCTGCCAGCCCCACCATCCAATCATGATTATGCATACATTGCATAGAGAAGCACAGAGATCCAGTAATGGCATCAGTAGATCTAAAATGAAGTATGTCAAGAAAATAGAAGGGTTTTACTCAAACATTCCATTAGCATGTTCA